GGTTCATCGGAGCACCCCTGGCTGCCACCGCCCCCGTCTCGAGCGGCGCAGCATCCACTCGTCCACCACGGTCATGCAACCGTGACGAGACCGGATCCGTCACACGCACCTGCAGATGCTCGACAATCTGCCCCCATGCCTCGTTTCGGTGAACAAGTGGTTCATGGGGTGCCTGCGGAGGAGGTCCCTGCTCCGGTGTCCGATTCATTGTCGACCCCGATTCCGACGACGACGGGTGGTGGTCGGTCTGCCCCACAGCCTCCACCCGTGTTGACCGGATCGTTAGACCCTTTGCAGTGCATTCGCGACCTTGCAGTCACCCAAAGCGCGACACCTGTGAGTCCTGGCGGGATGTTGGATGCCGGGGTCCTCGGCGGGAGAGCCACGACGGCACGATGCCGGGGCACTTACAGGCAGCAGGCCGTCACGTCATATTATTCGGACCCTTTAGAGCGCGTGTGGCATCTGCAAATCATGCGGTTCATCGTCGAGAGCGGAATGCCGTTCAACTGCTCGCAGCTTGAAAGCTTCAAACGCATGTTCACGATGATAATCCCGCCAGTGGTTCCGGGGGCGGCCGCGCCTAGACTTCCCTCCTACCACATGCTGCGCACGACCCTTTTGGATGAGCTGGATGGTGAGGTCCAGAAGTGTGTTCGGCCGGTGCTTGACACGTCGAGAGAGACCGGTTGCACAATCATGACCGATGGTTGGTCCAACATCCGTGGCCAGACGTTGTGCAACTACCTTGTTGGGACAGAGATCGGGGTAGTGTATATGGCCACCGACGTCATGCGCGGGAAAAAGGACGCCAGTGCCCTCGCGAACGCATGGTTGAAAAGAGTGAAGTCCATGGACATTCAATTGAGCGACATCACAGCATCCGTGACGGACTTCGCCGGAGTGAACGTTGTGGCGATGGAGGTATTCCAAAAATATGAGAGCGTGAAACACATCTTCTGGATTCCTTGCGTCGCCCACGTCATGGACCTCATTCTCGAGGACATCGGCGGGACTGATTGGGTGGCTTCCCGCATTGCGCAAGCGAGGCTGGTTACACGGTTCTTCAAGCGCCATGGACATGCGAGAGAGGTTCTTGAGGCGCACTCGACGAAGACTCTTCTGCTACCGGCGGAGACGCGTTTCGACACGAACGTCATCATGATGGAGAGGTTGGTGGAACTGCGGGCAGCGTTGATAGGTGTTGTGGGCGACGATCGTTGGCGTGAGACTGTTTGGTCGATCAGCAAGATCCGCAAGGACGCCGCGGAGGTCACTGCGTGTATCGGCTCCCCTCCATGGTGGGAGGATTTGAGAGCTCTGTGCAAGATGCTCGAGCCCATCATGGGCATGCTGAAGTTGGTGGACAGCGACACACGCCAAATCAGCAAGATTCCGCGACCGTACGAGGAGATGATTGCATCTTGTTTGTCTGCATGTCATGACATTAATCGGGACTAGCAGGACGCTATTGTCGAGGTTTTCATTAGGCGGCGCACCATGTTCAAGACCCCCGCCCACACAGCAACCATGCTGCTAGATCCGAGGTTCCGGGACGCGACGTTGTGTRACGATGCGGAGGTGCAGCAGGCCTTGGTCGAGGCCCTAGTACAGTTCGGCTACTCGGAGGGATCGCCTCAGCACCGGGAGGTCCAACGAGCGGTCGCCAAGCTCTACACGAGGGAGCCCCCTTTCGATGAGCTCACCATGCGGCGAGCTGCGGATATCTTTGATCACCCTGCCAGTTTTTGGTCCTGTAAGAAGGGGAAGTTCCCTCACACGGCGGTGTTTGCAAGCAGGATCCTTCGTATATGGGCGACCGCATCCGAGTGTGAGAGAGCCTGGTCTCGTTGGAGCTTCATTCATTCGAAGTCTCGCAAAGGGTTGGAGGTTCCTCGGGCTGAGAAGCTTGTGCGGTGCCACTGGAACCTCAGGCTACTCGATCGACCTTCGTTGTGCGACGACGGTGTTGGGGAGAGGTCCGGCGTCTTCGGGAAATGGGTGCATTATTGGCAGGCCGTGGAGGACGAGGCGGTCGTGGACCAGCAGCTCGTCAGAGGCACCGGTGCGCTGGCCAACGTGACCGAGGAGGAGTTGAGCATTGCCAGAGAGAGGATGCGCGCCGTTTCCCGCATGGGAGCCGAGCGTCGGGTGGTGGAGTCGGACAGGCGGCGACGCAAGGCCGGTGGTCGGGGACGTGGCGGCCGTGGACGAGCAGGTGTCGGAGGATGGACACGTGGCGATGCGGGTTCCGCTCCTCGGACTCGGCGACAGCGGACGGATGGTTGCATTCGTAGGGCCCGCATGCGTTGGGACGAGGGTGACTTCTTGTTCGACAGCACATCCAGCGACGACGACGATTTCTTTGCGTCGGGAACACATGCATCCACGGGCGATGATAGAGGTGACGCTGACGACAGAGGCGATGATAGAGGCGATGGTGATGGCAGAGGTGATGGCACAGGGCCCGGGGGAGGGGGAGGGGCCCAAGGGGGGGTTGATGGAGCAGGGGCCGGGGGAGGGGGCGGGGGAGGGGGGGGGGGAGGGGGCGTGGGCGAGGGCGTACGACGTGATGACGGTGACGGAGGCGGAGGCGAGGGCGGGGGAGGACCGGGAGGTGATTCAACATGGCCCGGGGACGGTGACGAGGGGGGAGATGGTGGAGGCGGTGAGGGAGAGGGCGACGGTGGAGGGAGCGAGTGTCGTGGCGACAGGGTTGAGGAGAGTGTGGACGACGATCTTCTGCCCGGTGGTCAGATCGGTTTGCAGCGGTTGCGACGTGGGGGCAGACGGGATGACAATATTGCGTCTCGTGTGCGCAAACGTCGTGGCCACATTGCGACCGACACGGGGGCATGTGTCATGCGGCAGGACCCGGTTGCCGTGTCAGAGGACGAACGTCCTCTGACGGGCCACCACGTCGGCCTCGACTGCCCGCCCGGCAGTCTTCCGCGCACCGACGAGTTATTGAACATGGATTCCGCCTTGGCATCACTGTCCGATGTGTCGCTATTGATATCTCCCACTTTGGCGGTTGTGCCACCACCGGAGCCTGCTAGACGAGACGACGAGCGTCGCAACAGAGGGTTCGACGAGTTCGGCGGTGACACGATACTGCATCCTTTAGAGTCCGGCACTCCAGGCATTTTTCATGTCGGTGCACTGTGGGCAGTGGAGCARGGGTTGGCGGAGGAGGTGGCACGAAACCGTCGTGGCGGACCGCCCGTTGCGGCGCAACGTAGTCTGGGAGGTTCACTAGAGGCAGCGTCTGGAGATTTTGTGGCACAGGGGGGTCATGGTTCGCATCAGTTGTCGGACGACGTGTCATCGGTCCGTCCACCGGACGAGGGCGAGCAGCGAGAGCGACATCGAGGCTCGACGGAGACTTTAGAGGCGAGGCATCCCGGAGTTATCCGCTCGGTCGAGGGCGTGGCCCATGATACGGCACAACCAGGGAGCGCAAACGCTGCATGGTACATCGGGGAGGGCATCGAGCGCATAGGGTCATCGACCGCACACGACGTCGGAGGAGGCGGGGGCGGGGGTGTGGGTGGCGCAGACGCTACACGGTCCTTCGGGGAGGGCATCGATGCGCAGGGGGGCATCAAGCGCATAGGCTCATCAACCGTACACGACGTTGGTGACGCGCACATAGATGAGCCTCGACCGCATCTGATGGGGATGCGTGACATCATGCGTCCACCACCGTCACGCTCCCCTGTCGCTGACCCCGTCGCCCACGGGCAGGCCTCGCAGAGCGCATTGCCGACGAGGTTTTTCTGCGACGGTGCGGCCATGGACCGGAGGGCGTGCGATATCGGACATGCATCATCATGTGGACCGGCAGATGTGCCCGCGGGGGCGAGATTGATCGGCAACGTCGATGGCACTTGTCACGGTTCCATGAGAGCTTACGAGGAGCAGCATGGGAGGCCTATACGGGCCAAGACGACCGATGCCCATGACACGAGGACGGCTACTGCGAGGCTATCACGGACGAGGAAGAAGGGAACARGTGCGTCGATTCYGTATCACCGACGCCGCCCGCATCCTTTTTTCYGCAACCGTGACGAGACCGGATAGATGCCAGCTGCTGCAGATGGACGGGGCGGGCTGGACGTAGGTGACAGAGTGGACGAATCAGGACGAGGTGAGAAGAGACGAGGTGGCACGATGATCATCCACGACGACAGCTCCACAGCCGCTGAGGGTGGTGAGACCACAGGCGCCGACGACTCTGATGACTCCGATTACGTCCCAAGGATCCGGACAGTGGACAGAGATGACGGCGGAGGTCGTCGCGTGAGGATGAGGACTGGACCTGGCCCGGAAGGTCATTGCACCCCATTGACACATTTGCCGCCTATTGATCCACAAGAGCGAGCTCGTTCTCTGTTGCGCGGAATGGAGGCGCAAAGAGAGAGAGAGAGAGAGAGAGAGAGAGAGAGAGAGAGAGAGAGAGAGAGAGAGATTCTGTGTATTCAGTGTTCACTGCTCTCTATCATTCTTTGTTTGCCAAAGGACTGACCGAGATACCTGCCTGTATGGAAAATTCGCGAGGTACATATATCATATATGTAAATATAGATATTAGGTTCCAGTACCAACTTCATTTTCCCTACAGGCTACAGGATACTGCTACCCAAACTGCAAATAGCAGACCCGGGCTACCCCTAGGACAGACAGGCCCTACGGGCCTATGCTGATAGACGGTCCTATAGCCTATAGYCGGGTAGGSYTAGGCCCTAGAGGCCAAAAGTGGTCAGTCAATGTGGTCTAGGTCGGTCTAGGCTATGTGTAGATTATAGATAGGATGTGGACACCAGAGGTCTGATGCGTTGGAGTACGTGCTGCACTGCTGAGTCAGTGTTGACCCTCCTCAGGAGTAGGGTCCCGGGCTCCCAGACTCTGTGTGGCGATCCAGCCATGGCTGCATCTTCTCAGAGATTATCATCCTCTGGACTTCATCTTCACCAGGTACTGTTGGCGGTGAGCTTCTACTTCATCATCTGAGTGGCGATCGCCGATTGGCTCTGGGAGCCCATTTCACTTTCGCGCAGGCCACTGAGTTGGATGTCAGGGTGGCGCTGGCGCCGC